ATTAAATCTAAGTATAACTCAGGCTATCACACGATTACACTAATGTGGGGTCCACAGTTTCCTACATAAATCAAATTCGAAAATATATGAAAATTATAAAAAAAAACACAAAATAGGAAACTTGGGAGAAAAGGAAGTTGAATAGACAGGGGTCTTTGCCAAAACAACCAAAAGAAAAGAAAAAAAGAAAGTCTGAAAGTGGAGGGAAGAGTTCCTTCGTTCGTCCAAAGTCATTCTCCAAACCAGACTACCAGAGGAAGCCGAAGCTCATCCAGATCTAGTTCAAGCTCAAGTTCGTCCAAGACTCCAAGGTCCAAGGTCTAAGCTGATACAGATATCAGCTATATATATTTTTTTTTCTTCTTCTTCTTCCTGCGGCACTCCAAGGTCCAAGCTCAGAAAACAGGGGCTCCACCCCATTCTTCTTCTTCTTCGTACAAAACCTGCACAAAAACAGGGGCTCTGCCCCTTTTACTTTTTGTTTTTAATGTTAAATCAGGGGCGGAGCTCCATTCTTCTTCTTCTTCTTCATACACAACCTACACAAAAACAGGGGTTCCGCCCCCTTTTTTTTCAGTTTTCTCAGTAAAACAGGGGCTTCTTCTTCTTTGTCTTCTTCGTACAAAACCTGCACAAAAATAGGGGCTCCACCCCATTTATTTTTTTTCGGCTTTTTTTAGTAAAACAGGGGCTCCGCCCAATTTATTTATTTTTTCGGTTTTTCTCAGTAAAACAGGGGCTCCGCCCCTTTCTCTTTTGTTTTTAATGTTAAATCAGGGGTGGAGCTCCATTCTTCTTCTTCTTCTTCGTATACAACCTGCACAAAAACAGGGGCTCCACCCCTTTTTTTTTAGTTTTCTCAGTAAAACAGGGGCTCCACCCTTCTTCTTCAGAGACTTGCAGTTTTGTAGTCTTGTTTCTTGCACAAAAATAGGGCCTTCGCCCCATTTTTTTTTTCAGTTTTTCTCATAAAAACAGGGGATCCGCCCCATTTTTTTCAGTTTTTCTCATTAAAGCAGGGGCTCTGCCCCATTATTTTTCAGCTTTTCTCATTAAAACTGCCCATTCTTCTTATTTTTCTTCCTTCTTCTTTCTAGTTTCTACAAAGACTTGCAATCTTGCTTATTAGTTCTTACACCACGGTGCCTCTGCCTCTTTTTTTTTCAGTTTTTCTCATTGAAACAGTTCAGTTTTTCTCATTATCAAGTAGAATAGTTTTTTTATTTGTGTTATTATCAAGTAGAATAGTTTATTTATAGGTTCACAAATATGAGTAGTTGAGTACTGATAGTTGCAAATTGCAATTTGTCATTTGTCAATAGGAAACTTTGCCAACCAAGTAGAGTAAAGAGATGGGAGACAAATCCGCCAATACTCAAGAAAGCAATAGGAAAGACCCGGGCTGGAAATATTGTTATTTGAAAGATCTAAAGAATACAAAGTCTCACTTACAAATTTTGTGGCAAAGTGACAAATGGAGGGATCTATAGAGAAAAAGAGCATTTAATTGGTGGAAGAAGAAATGTGAAAGTCTATCCTAAATGCCCGAAAGAGGTGAAAAAAGAGATATTAGCGTACATGCAAAGAAAAAAAATCAATGAAAGAGGACATAGTTGGCAGTCAAGAGGGCAGAATTCCAGATTTTGATGATTTTGAAAATATGATTGAAGATGAAGATGAGATGGGGAACAAGGTGGAAGTGCTTGTGGTGGTGATCACATTCCCACTGCTTCAGGTTCAAAAATAAGTTCTAAACAGCCCCCCATAAGAAGGCAAAAGGGGCCTTTGGATAAATTTTTTCCTACTCCAAGCCCAGAAGAAATTGTGAATTTGAGAAGAGAACAGAAAAAGATGAAGCAAACCACTATTAGTGATGTGTATAATAAAGAAGGGAGAGAGCAAGTATGCATACACATTGCTAGATGGTTTTATCAAGTTGGTATTCCCTTGAATACCGAGTGAGAAAAGTTTTAAAGCAATGGTAGAGGCAATAGGGCAATTTGGTCCGGGATTAAAAATCCCAAGTTACTATGAGTTGCGAGTTCCTTCCTTGAAGGAGGTTGATTATACAGAAACATTGCTTCAACACCATATGGAGTCTTGGGAAAAATGGGGTTGTTCTCTTATGTCTAATGGGTGGATGGATAGAAAGGATAGGACCCTCATAAATCTGTTGGTCCATAGCCATGCTGGGACAATGTTTATAGAGAGCATTGATGCTTCAAGTGAAGTAAAAACAACTTAGAGGTTATTTATTTTGCTTAACAAGATGGTGGAGAGAATTGGTGAGAAAAATGTTCTCCAAGTTATTACTGACAACGCATCAAATTATGTCCTAGCTGATGAGTTTTATACTTTGTTATTATTTCTATTTAACTTTCCTCTAGTCTTCTGACATGTGAAAGTCACTTTTCTTAAGTTCATATTTCTTGAATTGTTTTCTTGTATTATTAGGGAAGTTTTTTATGGCTAAGCATCCTCATTTGGCATGGACACCGTGTGCTACCCGTTGTTTGGAGTTGATATTGAAAGACATTGGGAAGTTGCCTACTGTGAAGAGAACAATTGAGAGGGAAATTGCACTTACAGAGTATATCTATAACCATTCAGGTTTATTGAACCTGATGAGGAATTTCACAAATCAGAGAGAATTGATTAGGCCAGAAAAAACTTGTTTTGTTATTTCCTTTCTCACATTGCCAAGTATATACAAACAAAAGGAAGAATTTGAGAGATTTTTTCAACTCAAAGTAATGGAATGATAGCAAATGGATAAAAGAAGCAAAAGGGAAAAGAGTATGGGAGACATTCATGATAACCACATTTTGGAATAATGTCATCTTTACTCTTAAAGTGTGTAGCCCTCTTGTTTGTGTATTAAGGTTGGTGGATCATGAAAACAAGTCTTCCATGGGTCATATTTACGAGGCTATGGACCGAGAAAAAGAGGCCATTGATAAGGCATTTGGTGGAAGGAAAGAAAAATATGAAGACATTTTTGACATTATTGATAAGAGGTGGGAATGCCAACTCCATCAACCATTGCATGCAGCTAGTTACTTTTTGAACCCCCAATGTTATTATGATGATCAAGAGAGAATTAAAACAGATGAAGAGGTTATGACAGGGTTTTTTAAAGTAATTGAGATGCTTGAGAAGGACAAGAACAAGAAAAGTGAAATCACTAATGAAATATCCAAGTATAAGAATACAGAAGGCATTTTTGGTTTTGATATGGCTATTTCCCAACGGAAGATTAAAGCACCAGGTAATAACATTGATTTAAAATAATATTTGATTCTCTTAATATTTTAGTTAGTCTAATCACTAATTCAGTTAATATTTATACTTGTTAGCTGATTGGTGGACCATATTTGGTGTTTCTACTTAATCTTTTGAATTAACAGATTCATACTAAGAAAAGAAATTGGTTGGATCAGAAGCGGTTGAATGACTTGGTGTTTGTTAAGTTCAACCAGATGCTTAAAGAAAGTTTTGACTCACGTAGCACCAATAATCCCATTCATTAAAAGATATAGATGAAAGTAATGAATGGTTAATGGGGGAGGTAGGACGTGATGAAGATGATGCAGAAGCTGATTTGGTGTTTGATGATGATACACTAACATGGAGAGATATTGCTCGTGCTTCTGGAGTTGAAGAGCCACTAAGGTATACAAGGTGTAGAGCTTCAACTTCACAAGCAAGAGCAACAAAATCTAGTAGAAAAAGAACAAGACAGCTTCAATTGGAAGATGAAGAAGAGGAAGAAGAAGTTGATATTAAAGTTGAAGTTGAAGTTGAAGAAGAAATGGAAAAGGATTTTGATGACTACAAGTCAGATGACAATGGAGATGAAGTTGAACTTCCAAGTGAAGATGAAGAGGATGTTGATTGAGTCTTGAAGAATGGCTGAAACCTTAGACTCTTCTTTTTTTATATATATAGAAATTTGTCTGACTTTTGTTTTGTAGAAAATTGTCTTTGACTCTATGACTCATTTTTTGGTTAGAAAATTGTGTATGACTCTATGTCTATAATCTCTATGTCTTTTTTTGAAAGAAAATTGTGTGTCTCTTTTTTTGAAAGAAAATTGCCTATGATATGATTCTAACTCTATGTGATTGTTCATTGTATTACATTAATGGCTTGTAACTTGCTTCAAGTCTTGAACTTAATGTTGATTGGTCATTGGTGATTACTTAAGAGCTTGATTATTTCATATTTTTGTAGTTATTTAATTTAATTTGAAGTTTAGGAATATGTTTTCTAAATATACCTTCAATTTTTTCTTTTTTTTTATTTTTCAAAAAATTGTGTGCCTTGCCTCAAAAAGGCACACGCCTCGCCTTGCGCCTTTCGCTTGTAAAACACTGATTTGACCCAGGCCCAAAAATGCACTATAAGAAACAAGTAGTGCTGGCATGGCAACAATCCCAAGACAAGAACAAACACTTCAAGCATTAATGAAGAAGATTGTACACAGGAATATCCCTGGTTGACCATCGATGGACCTTGGATATATTGGTCTCCTTAATCAGGGTGAGAGAATTGTACATAGGAATATCCTTCGTCTTTTGGGGGGTTGGCCCTATTATATACTCATATACATGTATACCCTGTTATTTTCCTTCAAAAAGCATCCTAAGAGAGTATACAATGGGTTCAAATCCTCTAACTAAATGTTCTAAATTCATATTGTTGAAGAGATTTTCTATGTAAGGAACATAGCCCTACATCAGCACTTGAAACATTCATAAATCTGGCTTGTTGGAAGTTCCAGACATAATTTGATATATTCAGGCTCATTGTCACAGGACCAGTTTGACTGGGATCAGCATAACTAAACAAACTTCCTCTACAATATTAACCAATGCAACATAATGTACCTGTATAACTGACCCCTTGTTAGTCTCAATGTATATAGATAAATAAATAGGTATGTAATAAACAACACATATAGATAGATAGAGAGAGAGAGAGAGAGAGAGAGACATTACCTCAGGATGTTGAGTATCAATGGCATCCAGCACTTCTCTCAAAACCTCAAGAGCAGCACTAGCCTTTTGAATAATACTGTAACCGAATAAATATAGTGTAAGGACAGATAGAAGACCTCACATGCATCCATTTTAGAAAGTTCCTTGAGTATTTATTATATTAAACATAACCCTAGAATAGGCAACATGTGTAATAGCCACTAAATTACAAGTCAAATAGAAAATAAAAAATAGCATTGATATCTTCATACTTTGTTTTAAACAAAAATTTCTATCTATGCAGTTTGGTTTTGCTCTGTTTCCTTCAAAGAATGGAATTGTAAGAAATCCATTCTCCCATTGTTCAAAATGGATTGAGCTTAGCTACCCAAGCAAGATATTTCAAACTCTTCTATCATCAGCTGAGGCCACCTGGATCCCCTGGACTTTTCTTCAAGACGCCTATCCAGATCTCGAGCTTGGGGACAAGCTCGTTGCCCAGGAGGGGTGTAATGTTGTGGATGCATTCATGGGGAGGACGTACCGCCGCCGGCAGCAGCAGTAAAGAGGGGCCCACATGGCGGCAGTTTATCTTATCAGCTCCACCAGCTTATCTTATCTAATCCTTAGTAGCCTCTCTTATCCTACTTTATCTATTAGAAGAATAGTTGGAGTATGTTTATCTATTAGAAGTAGGAGTTTGATTGATCTTAGAGTTTGATTTATCCTAGTCTTATCTGTAAGTAGTCGAATCCTACAAGGAGTCCTCCTACAGGGGGGCTCTCACCTCTTGTAATCTCCTATTTAAGGAGCTGTGAATTGAGAATAAAGGCATTCAGTTTTCAGTCAAGGAAAGAGTTGAGGAGAGTTAGGGTGATCTCTTGGACAAATCACCCTTAGGTCGCCACGATAGGGTCTGCACGCAAAGGGAGGGGCAAGGGGAAGCTAGAGGTTCTCCCCGTGGACCGACCCGTGACGAGATCCTACGCCCGGACCCATAACATTTTGGTATCAGAGCCAAACGTCATGGGCAATATGGAACAGCTATCATCCAGGGTCCACGAATTGGAACACCAACTCGCGGAAGTGAGAGAAGTCAAGGAAGATGTTCGAGAGCTTCGTCGCCTACTCGAGTCGTATTTCTCCACCAAGGAGAGGAGCCCTGAAGGGGCGACCACCACCAACAGCCACCGACCAGAATTGGCGGAGGCATCCGGCAAATGACAGATCGCCACCCCAACAGCCGCAGTCATACCCAAGTATAGTAGGCTGGAGTTTCCTTCATACAGCGGCAGCGGCAACCCACTAGAATGGTTGTACCGCTGTGAGCAATTCTTTCGCAATCAGCGCATGAAGGAAAGGGATAAGGTCAGTCTGGCCGCGTTTCATCTGATAGAAGAAGCACAACTTTGGTTCTACCGGGTAGAGCAGGAGGAACCAGGACTCAGCTGGGACCAATTCAAGTCCTACTGCCTCCTCCGGTTCGGGCCCCCATTGACAAGCAACCCACTAGGAGAATTAATTAACCTCAAGAAAACAGGGACCATAGCCGAGTACCAGCACCAATTTCAGACCCTTCTCGCCAGAGCCGCCTCAGTACGCCCAGATCAGTAGGTGGATATGTTCACCGCTGGATTAGCTGAGCCCTTGAGAGTCGATGTAGAAATGCAGAGCCCTCCCAACCTGGTCACTGGCATGAACCTAGCCCGCGCTTTCGAGCGCAAGCTACAGATCAGCCGAGGATCTTTCAGCATGGAGCGTTCAGCGACATCATGGACAAATCCGAAGTCAACTGGGGGGGGGCTTCTTTGGCAGCCAGCAGGGAACAAAAGCTTCACACAGGTAGCACTTCCAGATCGGCACCTAGCATAGGAAGCAGCATGACGGCACCTCCCATCAAACACTTATCTAGAGCTGAGATGGCGGAGCGCCGGGCAAGAGGGCAGTGCTTCAACTGCGACGAGCTGTATTCAGCCAGGCACCGATGCAAGCGGCTATTCTGCCTCCTAGTCGACGAACTAGAGGAAGACGAGGAGGAACCCACAGCACTAGAACCCGAAATCTCCCTACACGCCATCACCGGGATAAAGACCTCTCAAACCATGCAGCTACGGGCACGGGTGGCAGGGAAACTAGTACGTATTCTTGTAGACTCGGGAAGCACACACAATTTTGTCAACGAGCAAGCGGCACTTCAACTGAAACTACCGGTAGAAAGCAGGCCGCAACTATAGGTAGCCGTCGCAAATGGAGAGAGAGTTCACAACCCTGGAATCTGTAGGAACATCCAAATACAGGTCAAATCTGAACCCTTCTCTGCTGATTTATTTGTGCTGCCCCTGGACGAGTTTGATATAGTGCTTGGAGTTAAGTGGCTCATTACTCTAGGCCCTATCCTATGGGACTTCAGTGCCCTAACCATGTCATTCCACCTGAATGGAAAACAAGTCACCTGGCAGGGAACCAGAGTAAAGGCAAAAAGACCGCAAGTGCATACACTCCATGGTGAAACCATGCACGCCGTAGATATGGAGAGACTTCTCACCAACTTCCTGGACGTATTTCAAGAACCCAAGGGACTCCCACCTACTCGATCATGTGACCATCGGATTCCTTTAATACCAGGTTCAGAACCCGTCGTCGTCCGCCCATAACGCTACCCGCATTTGCAAAAAGACGAGATAGAGAAACAGTGTGCAGAGATGTTGAAACAATGGATCATCCGCCCCAGCTACTCCCCCTTCTCCTCGCCAGTTTTATTGGTACCAAAGCAAGACAGCACTTGGAGGTTGTGTGGATTACAGAGAACTCAACAACAAAACCGTCAAGGACAAATTCCCGATTCCCGTGGTAGACGAACTGCTGGATGAACTCCACGGGTCTCGGTACTTCTCAAAGCTAGATCTCAGATCAGGGTACTTTCAGGTCCGGATGGCCCCCGAGGATGTGGAAAAAACAGCCTTCCAGACGCATCATGGTCACTTCGAATTTCTAGTCATGCTGTTCGGTCTCACCAACGCCCCATCCACATTCTAGTCATTGATGAACGAGGTATTTTGGCCCCACCTTCGCAAATTCGTCCTAGTGTTCTTTGACGACATCCTGGTTTACAGTAAATCATGGGTTGAGCATGTTCGTCACCTACGAACTGTTCTGGAATTACTGCGCCAACACAAACTCTTCCTAAAGCGGCCCAAATGTTCCTTCGGGGAACGCCAGGTCCTTTATCTGGGACATGTAATCAGCGGGCAAGGTGTCTCAGTAGATGGCTCCAAAATCCAAGCAATTCAGGATTAGCCCAAATTTCAGTCCACCAAAGCTCTCTGCGGGTTCCTAGGACTGACCGGGTATTACCGCAAGTTTGTGCAAAATTATGGACTCTTAGCTGCCCCATTAATCAAGATGCTAAAGAAGAACGCGTTCCAGTGGGATGAGGCAGCTAACGCCGCCTTCGCAAGCTTAAGGGATGCACTCTCCTCCACCCCCGTGCTGCAGTTACCAAACTTGACCAAGAATTTACGGTGGAATGCGATGCTTCCGGTATAGGTATTGGAGCAGTACTACAACAACAAGGACACCCCATATCCTTCTTTAACCGCAAACTAGCTGACCGGCATCTAAAGCTACCGGCCTACGAGCGCGAGTTGATTGGACTAGCCAAGGCCGTGCAACACTGGAGGCCATACTTGTGGGGGAGACCCTTCATCATCAAGACAGATCACTGCAGCCTCAAGTATCTACTGGAGCAGCGGCTTACCACTCCGCCCCAACAGCACTGGGCGAGCAAACTACTCGGGTTTGATTTCCAAGTAGACTACAAGGCAGGGACCTTAAATCAAGCCGCAGATGCCCTGTCCAAGCGAGATAAAGATGCTATGCTCCTTTGTGCAATCTCTCGGCCCCGCATCACCCTATTGGAAAGCATTAGAAGCATGCTGCCCCAATCACCGGAATGGAGGGACCTTGTTCAGAAAATACAATCTGGAATGACCAACCCAAATTGGTCCATTCACGATGGGCTAGTACTATACAAGGGACGGGTATATCTCCCAACCGACTGCTCCTTAATCCCCGTCGTTATCTCCAGCATTCATAACTCCACACATGAAGGTGTTCAGAAGACATTGCACCGCGTCCACACCGATTTCCATTGGCATGGTATGAGGGCTTCGATTCGGGACTTCATCCAGAATTGTTCTATGTGCCAACAACAAAAATGGAAAAACTTACACCCGGCGGGCCTTCTCCAGCCTCTTTCACTTCCAACACAGATCTGGGCTGATATCTCCATGGACTTCATTGAGGGCCTACCCAAGGTAGGCGGGAAACCGGTTTTATTCGTGGTGGTGGATCGCTTTTCCAAGTATGCTCATTTCATTCCCTTGTCCCACCCATATAGCGCGGTTTCGGTTGCCCACGTCTTCACACATATTTTCCGTTTGCATGGGCTACCCGAATCCATCGTCAGTGACAGGGACCCGGTTTTTACTAGCACCTTCTGGAAGGAGCTATTTCGGTTGCAAGGAACAACCCTAGCCTTTTCCTCCGCCTACCACCCGCAGACAGACGACCAAACGGAGGTGGTAAACCGTACCATAGAGATGTACCTCCGTTGTTTTGTGGGTGACCAGCCACGGCGTTGGGTGGATTGCCTTCCATGGGCCGAATACTGCTACAACATGGCCTATCACTCTTCTCTTGGCATGACTCCATTCCGGGTCGTCTATGGTCGGGACCCCCCTGCCTATTGTCCTACGAACCCGGTTCAACGCGGTTGGAAGAAATCGATCATGGTCTACAAGATCACGATGCCCTCCTAGCCGAAGTCTCTCTCCGCTTACAACAGGCTCAGACACGCATGAAGAATGCCTACGATCAGCGCCACCGAGAATTAACTTTCAAACCCGGACAGTTTGTGTAGTTGAAACTCCAACCCTATCGGCAACACTCTCTCAAAGGCAGATCTTCCCCTAAACTGGCTCTCAAATTTTACGGGCCCTTCAAGGTTTTACGGCAGATCGGGAAAGTTGCATATCAGCTCGAGCTACCAGAGCACAGCAAACTACATGATACCTTCCACGTATCCTTGCTCCAGCC